TGCAGTATTGAGCTCATCTTTCAGCTGAAYTGCTTAAGGTGAGATATGAAGTCAGCAGATAGGCTGTCAACAGTCCTGAATTCACTTTCCATTCAAATGTATTTCTCGAGACTGTGTAGTAAGATGTCTGACATTCTAAACAACACATCTTTAAATTAAAACTTCAGGCTAATTGTAAAGATACCTTTACTTCCCAGAGAAAAAAAAGTCCCACTTGTATTTACCAAGGGAGTTTTGAGGCCCACAGATAATATATGTCTAGGAGTACTGTAAAGGTGTTCCGTGCTAGGTTTTACACTTCCAGTCTCAAGGTAAAAGTAATGTACAATAAACACAGTTACTAGGCTCAGAGCTTGAGTTACAGGAGGGGGAAAGAATTTTTTTATGTAGTATTAAACCTCCTAATGGTGTTRTTAAAAAACTAATTTTTCACTGCTCTTTTTATTTGCCAACAAATAGGTCAGTGCTAGGTGCYGTATATCTTACCTCAGCGTGGATGCTTACTGGGCAACAAGTGTCTCAGTTTAACATTCCCTTCCTCCTAGTATATCATTGTGTTAACACAACTTCTATGTTTCACAAGCCTTTGTCTGCAAAGACAGAACTTTCTACTTCTGTGAGACTCAGTGGAAATATTCAGGCCTGCCTTTATGAATTGTGATGACATTTGCTGACTTTGTCATGTTGAGTGACATATGAAGATCGGCCCCTGGCTTCAGGGGGAGAAACAACTCTATAGCACTTGTCTGTAGGCTTCAGATACAATTCTCTGAAGATAAAGCAGTTGTCCCAATTTAAGCTCATTTAATTTATTTCCAAAGAAGTTAAATACAGTCACTCCAGTGACAGTGTCAAGTCATCCCTATATATTATTCTATTTGTTTCATCACAGCATCTTTTCTCCAGGGAGCTCATTTGTATTATCTTGCTTTAAGGTCATCTGACTCTTAGTTTGTGTCACAGATTTAAATTCAATTTATCTTTAGTATAAATTAAAATGTTACTGTCACCACCAGACTGAGCCCAGAAGCCACAACTATGGCTATTTAGCAATCTATTTTAAATTCAGGAAAAGAGCCATATACCTAAATATTTTATGGCTAACTAYCATTTGGCTTCAGACCTAGATCTCTGTATTCAGGATAATGCTTACAATTGCTATTGCTGCATGCCATTGCTTCTGAGCATTTGCTGATACTGTTTTTAGAAATGTATTTTTCCTCTTTTGAGGAAACGACACCATCTAGAAGGGCAGTTTGGGCTCCACTCRAGGTCAGTCATTTGAACCAGCCTAAAGATAGTCCACTGCATATATTCTGTCTGGTTTTTTTTTTTCATGGCAACTCTGCTCTGCCCTTGCAGTGCTGCAGGAAAATAAAAACTTGCAGTAGACCAGTGTAGTGATTGTCTGAACATATGCGTCCAGTTCTGAAATCCTGCATAATTTAAATTTTTTGCCACTGACATATGCACTTTCAGTCTGTATGAAATGGTCTAGCCATCTATAGCAGAAATAATTTTCTAATGAGACTGCCACTAGTGTGAAATCATGGTCCAGGATCGAGTGTGGGTCAATGTTGTTGCCTAGCCTCCAGACAATGAGGCTAGGGTTGATTTTCCTCTAGATCACCCTCTAAAAACATCTACCAGGAAAACTTATCTGAATGCCCAAAACAGCCTAAGCTCAAGCCAGTCTTTGCAAGACAGTTGAGTCATAAAGAGACTGCCTTGTGTGCAAATGCAGGCTAACACATGCAAAAATACCAYGCTACCTGCAACTTGGGGCACTGTTTTTGGATGACCCGACTCAGTAAAAGCCTGGGTTTCGTCTCTTTTTTCCCCAGAGAGCTCTGTTCTACACTTCCAGATCCTCATCCCCACCAGAGCCCAGCAGTACCTGTTATCCTGCCTCCTTCTACCCCACAGCCCAAAAAGCTCTCATCCCTCTGAGTYCTGTTCCTCTTCCCTGAAGCATTTCCGCTCTCTCTTCCCCGTCCGTCTCCGTGCTCTGCACCGCTGAGTTTGAAGGCAGCAAAGGCGGCCTCTTTTCCCTACAGGCAGTGAGAGCCCCTTCTCTCTTACAGTGTTCTCTTTCCCGCCACTTCCCGGGAATGTCTGTGCCAGATCCGCCGCTGCCCTGGCTGTCCAGACAGGCTGCTCACACGAATGCTACCGGAGCCCACCCGGGGTGCAGGCCCCGGCTGACGGGGTGCCCCCGCGGTGCTGCGGCTCCGTGCCGGGGAGCGGCGRGAGCGGGGCCGGCTCACCGGGAGGCACCAGCAGCACCTAGCGGTGACAGCCGTGCCGAGCGCCCCGCACCGCCTCAGCCWCAAACGGCCGCGGCTCTCCCCCCTGCGGAAAGGGCGTTTCTCCAGCGGCGGTGACTCTGGACTGGGTTACAGTTCAACACATCTGTGAGCAACTGTGATAAGTTTTGCCGTGACCTCGGCCTCCGCCAAGCCCAGAACAGGAATCCGGTACATCCTCGCCTTTGGAGACGGGAAACAAATTGTTTGATACAGATCACTTCACATGCAATACCCTGACTTTTCCCATGACATTTCTCTCTTTTTCATAGAATTGTAACTGCCTTGTGTCACAAGCCCTTTACTAAAAGGAATTGAGTRGTTTCCCCGTCTGGCCAGTGATTTCCCAGATACCATGCTGTGTAAAGGCCTTAAGGTGTCAGGACCTGACTGTCCATGGAAATATTACAAAACTTTTATTTATGTGCACATTTTATTAGTGAGTCTTTGAGCAATGTATACACACACATGACATGCTCTTTTTTTGCGGGAAAAAAGCAATATAGTAGCAGGGAAATGTTAAAAGATTTTAATACAAACAATCTTTTCTTTAATAGAAAAGTACTATCCATTATATCTTTAAATGTTAACAGACATTTGTYTATGTGGTCTTTTGCTACTTATTGTTCAATGTTCAGTGCTTCATCTGGAGGTCTGAGGAGAAAGAAGGATTGAGCTGCATTCTGGAAATTACACATGCCATTGTGGCATTTGGTGAGGTGTTCTATCCCTGCGGCTTGGATCATCAAATTACTYGCTCTACAGTAAAACTGAAAAAGAGGGCAAATACTGTCCCAGCACAGAGCACAACCTTCCTGTGGCTGTAGAAGGCTGTTATATATCATTATTTAAAATTCAATTCACTATATTGAAAGATATAATCCTCTATATTGGGAAATAGAGAAACAGTTATTTACTATTCACATGTAAATTAAGATAATACTCTAAGAAGATACTATCACAAGAAAACTCAGCTAGAGGGTAGGGGTGTTTTCAGTTTTAGGAAACATGGGGAAGAAAAAAGATGCACAGATGCAATGCCACTGTGCATAGGGCAGTTTCCTCAGCACCTTTTAGACTTTGCCTGACTCAAGCCTTCCTCCAGAGTTTTGAGTTTTGAGCAGAATGCATAGCTACATTGCAATTGTTTTGTATCCTTTACCTGTCCTATGCGTTCCAGGGTGAGCTTTAAAATAGAAAGCAGATATATTTTTATGCATGTAATGTATTGACTGTTTCATTCAAGGTAGCACATAATGCATGAGCAGACACAGTGATATAGTTCCTTGATTAAGAAAGAACTGAGAAATTCTGAACAGGCAAACAATTACATGTTGTATAATGATCATCTCAGGGGCTCTATGCTTTTACTTCTCTGAGACACGAATTGGGAGCACACCCACTGCCACCACAATTGGCTGTCATAGCATTGATGAGCCATCATACAATTGCACTGTTTTTATATAGCTATAACATACTGTCAACATGAATGACAGGATCAGTTTGCAGAAGGAAAAAAAACCAGCCTCATTACGTATGCACACATACATATGCAACGGCATCAGTGCAGGCCATTCTATCTGGGGATTCAGATGATAAATAACTGAAGCTCTTATCTGGAGATTTTWAAATGTCACTAGACCAGCCCAGATGTTTTTATCCTTTGACTGCCGGGCTGCTTGTCCATCAGCAGGGTCCATCCTGTGGCTTTCTGCCGGTTGCCGCTAACRGCGTTCAGGCGCTGTGCAACACCGCGGGGACAGCGAGGCACATCAGCCTTCCCGAAACCACGTTTGATGCAGCTTCCCCCGGCCTCGCAGCRATTCCCCGCGGGCGGCCTTCAGGCACTGGCGGGGCCGCGGAGGGACAGCGCTGCTTCTCCCGTGCGCTCCGCGCCGCGTACGCTCCGAGTCGCGGATTTTCCGCTGCTGTCTGCGCTTCGGCGTGAGCAAATTGCCGCTACCCTGCCCGGGTTCATGACGACCCCATTAGCCCCCGGCGAACAAGGGGACATCGCGACGGGGAGACGCGGCCACAACCCCGGGCCCGWGTAAGGGGCTCAGTCACGGGCAGGGGATCGCGCTCCGCTCCGGGTTTGGTGCAAACCTGGCCGGGCAGCGTGTCGGGGCGGCCGCTGCCGCGGGGTCTGCACGACAGCCCGGAGCCCCGCGGCGCCACTCCGAGCCCCACTGCAGCCGCTTCCCTGCGCCCCTCTCCCATCACAGCCACACAGCAACGCCGCCAGCCAGCCCTGCCCCTTCCAGCAGGGAGGGAAGAGGCTGGATTTAAACACAAACATCGCTCCACCGCTCGGTGTACTATTTTCGCTCTTGTCTGGCACCTCTCCTGCACCCTCAACYCTCCCCACGCCGTCAGCACTTGAACCTGCCGGCCTGAAAAGTGTGCCATCCCCCATCCTCGACCCCCTCCCCTCCGGGCCAGCCCCACCGACCCCCCTCTGCAGAGTCCGGCTGGGAAGCGCCGCTGTGCTCCGCGGGACCCCCCACCGGCCCAGGGAGGCTGGCTGCGACCAGCGGGGAGGGCGGCGAGGACGATTCGCTTGCTAGAGAAATGCCCTGTTGAACTTTGAATATATTAGTTGACATCAGTGCGAGTTGGGGCTGCCAGCCCCTAGCTCCCTCCTCCTTCCCTACCTCCTCCTCCTCCGCCTCCTTCTCCTCCTCCCCTCCGTCTCCGATGGAAAGAGTTGAAGCCGTGCTGATAGGAGCCGCCTGGAAGAGACAGCGGAGCGCYCGGGAGGACTTCGGTCCCAACTCCGGCCGCGCCGCGGGGACGCTGCCCGCCGCCGCTTGCATGGCCCGAGGCGGCACTCCCTGAGCGCCGGGCTGGGGAGAGCCGCCGCTCCGCTCCCCTGTTCGCCCCGAGCCGAGCCCAGCCGCGCCGAGCCCAACCGAGCCCAGCCCCGCCGAGCCGAGCCCAGCCGCTCCGCGGCTGCCCCYACTCCTGCGGCAGCCGGAGCGCGATGTGCCGGTGAGCCCCGCACCGGGAGCCCGGCGGCCACCCCGTAAGCGCAGCGCGGCGGCGGCCCGGGGGGCGGGCGGCGGGACGGGCCGGGGGGCGCGCAAACTTCCCAACTTGGCGGGGTCGGGGCGAGCGGGCGGCGCTGGGAAGGGGATCCGGGGAGGTGGGAGCCCCAGGGGCTCCTGTGCGTCTCCTCCGCCCCCGGCGGAGCGCCCGGTGATGGGGGGCCTGGGGCAAACTGCGGGACGTGGGGGTGTGTTTGTGCCCGGCGCTGGTTTCGCCGGCCCCCTGTCCGCCGGACAACCCAAGGGTTTTCTTTTTTTTTTTTTTTTTTCGCTGTGTTCGCACTCCGGCAGCGCTGGAGACCACGCTAGCTCGGAGGTGGCAGTGGAGGTGCTTTTTTCCTCTTTCTCTCCCCGCCACCTTCCCAGCTCTTCCTAAACCCGCTAAGTGGGGCTGTGCAGAAAGCAAAGGGGTGCAGTGRTGGGAAGCTGGATAGCCTAGACGAAGGGATATTAATGATTTTTGTTTTTCAGATGGTAATTTGTCTTTGTGGTAGGGGTGGCCCATTAAATTTCAGCTCACGTCCTGATGGAGATCAAAAGCGAAGGGGAGAGGAAGAGGGAAGCAGAGAGCCTTGTGCAGCTCCTTAGCTTCGCGCATTGTTAGAAACTTACAGGGAGTGTATGGGGGGGTAAGATTTCCAACCTTTGTCCATCCAGCTCTAATATCCACACCAAAGCTGGCGACCTGTATTTTCCAGCATTACCATCTGCTCCCTGGGGYTTCCCAGGAGCACACTTACTGTTACGCCTCAGAGGAAACAAACAAAAGGTGTGCTTGCCAAGTCGGTCCTGAACCTGTCTCTTCACGGGCTTTTAGATGGAGCATAAGTATCGAGGAGTATCTGTGTTCTAAAGGTTCACTSTCCTCTGTTGGCTCAGTTTAGACTCTTAGATAATTTCCTATCCTTAAAAAAGACATGGTAGATGACAGGTCCTGTTTTATAGTTTGTTTTGGGGTTTTTTTGGGGGTTTTTTTTTTCCCCCCTAATTTATTTGTCTATTTTTGGTTGGGGTTTACGTTTATTTTTTTCCCTTTTTTTTTTTTTCAAACTATTTATGTATGGATATATTGGTTTGGGTTCATAGTAAAGTTTCATTTTTTGTTGTGCAAGTGTTCCCTCTCATTATAGAAAATACTTCTTTTCCTAAATTATAGTCTGAGCTGCAAGATGTTTGATGTCTTTGCMTCTGGATGGGTTCAGTGGTAGGCTRAGACCCCAAGCTGACTGCACTGTGAACAAAATAGAAACCAACTAAGCTAGAAGTTATAATGGGCTTTGATTCTTACTGCTGCTTGAAATCAGTAGAGATCCCAGGTGAGTGAAGGCAAGTAGGAGGAGTGAGGGTTGCTGTAACAAACTACTCATACAGAAAAGTACTCTGTTGATTATAGATCTGATTTGTTAGCACCCAAGGGAGAAAACTGGTCATAACTGCAGAGAAAGTGGCAATGGGTAAGAAAAATTCTGTGGATACTTAACCAGATTTTAAAGAGCGATTTAATTTTTAAACARTCACTTGAATCATCCATATCTTTAATTTTTTCTCCTTTTGCTCTAAAACTTTTCTGCTCAGATTGGATTGGATGATAATTAGACTCTGCACTAGGCAGGCAATAATAGGGAATCTCTGTGATTTATGTTATGCCTCTTGCATTTTCAGTGAACTAGAGACAAATTGTCCTGTTTTTCTCTCTATCTTGCTTTCTTTCCTTAAAGAGGCCAAGTTTTTGTCCTCCTCTGCCAGGAACATGCTAATCCTGAAGTTGTTGGGGAGAGCGAGATYCCACCCTTCAGAATCTAGATATTTGCTTTGTTCATCCCCCCAGTCTGTTATGCTGATGGAATTGGCARTGGCTGCCCTCTGTGACCTCCCTCCCTTCCTACAAAAAGCTGGGGCAACCAGGGAGGAGAAAATGTGCAAACTCCAGCAAGTGAAAAAGCACAACCCCAGAGGACAAAAGGCTTGAACAGAGAGATGCGGGGGATGAGGTTCTGCGTAGAAAATGACTTTGAGCAAGCTGGCCTTGATCAGTTCACATTGACTGGAAAAAAATGGCATGGGGATGCGTTCAGCAGGAATGTGGATAGCCCAACAGAAATTCAATACAAGTGGTGCCATGGAATTTTAGTTGCTTTGCAGTAAGATGAAACAAGTTCCCAGACGAAGTGGTTTTGGTTGTCCGTTGTGATTGCCCTTTATTCTCCAGGCTGACAGCTGACCAGACTATAAACTATATACCACAGACTATACCCCCAGAAGATAAACTCCTTTTACCTTGTCAGCAGTTGTAAAAGTCCTGCTTGACTTGGGCTGAGGTACGGTAGGGCCCTGTTAGAGGGAAAGTTCCTGGAGAGCAGGCTCACTTTGTGATATTAAACATAGCTCGAACAATAGATTTCTATTTTAGTCAGAATGAATAAGCATGTGAACAGACTTACTAGGGTTAAATAAGACCATCTGCACGAATATTATTTTCCTGAAAACAAATAGATGCCGGGCAAAGTTTCAGTGTGCAGCCGGGGCTGTTGCCTTGCTGTTCGGCAAAAGGGGGCAGTATCCAACAGTGCCAGGGAGCGATGCGCCGCTGCCGCCTCCCTGTCTCGAGCGCTGGTGCGTGCTCTATCAACTAGGAGCTGGCAATTTGGGGTGTTATCCGGTAGCCCATATTCAGGTGATTCCTTGTAAAGACATCAGAGAGATTCATTGACTGTCTAAAACGTGCAGCATCAAAGCTGTAATTGTTTTACTTTGTGGTTACATCACTTCCATATGCTGATGAAAGATAGGAAATTAAGGACAATGCTGTACAATTGCAAAGCTAGTTTTGTTAAYATTTAGTAGGCTGACAGAAGTAACCTTACCATGTTTTTACTGTGCTGATTTTAGGGAGAGCTTGATGAAGCCCTAGCTTTGGATTGTTGRTATAAATGCCCTCCAAGGAATTGTCATCCCATGTTTTCCGTAGTAAGAAAACCAAACATTTTCTTCTCTAAATTTAACTTTCTTTGAGAACTCATTTGTTTCTAGCCTAGAGAAATACATTGATCCATTTCATAAAATATTAGKTTTAGAATGCATTTAAAAGCCTTTTCACCTTTCATTTATCTATATGCTTGGATTATTATACTAGCATTTCAGTTATTTTTTTACTGAGARCCATGGGCAATTTTACTGAGCATCTGTCATTTGAAACCTATGCACTGAACTCCAGCTTTGTCACATCTAAGTGTTGCACACTGCCTTCATGACAGGAGCTGCAGCATTAGGGGCAGACTGGCCCCAAGTGAGGGGACTTGGCTGAGGAATAGAGAGTCGGTCGTTATAATGTGAAGTTGTTCCACTGCTGGGGTAGTGCCGAGATTCAGAGTTTAGGGGCAGTCCAGTGTGAAGTTTTCAACTGGATTTGCCTTGCTGCAGATCATTTCTGGTGTAAAACTGAAAAAGGGAAATTTAAGTACCTGCACATAGTAGTGGACGCAGTCAAGAATGGTTCTCTAGGTGTAAAATTCATTGGTACTCTSTGTCTAGCAGGTGTGCAAGTACCAAATCACACTGAGATCATGAAGTCAGTCTTAAGTGATGGACTTACCTTTTATAGACTGAATGCTGTGGAGGTGAACTGCCGCTCTTTTGGGTTGGATCCTTGTGATGTAATCCGAGAGAGTACTGCACTCTGCCTGCTGCACCTTGAAATGGGCTGTGTCCAAGCRTTGTTGCTTCTGAGGATCAAGTCAACAGCTCTTTGTTATGGTGCTGTTACTTAAGGAAACAAAAGTAAGCTCACTCAAGGCAGCATGTCAGATAGTTTTATGGTAGGGATTGTTTCTCTTGATTTTAGACTGCTGACTTGTCCAGTGTGCCCAGTATCAGGACTCATCCCATCTCTGTCCATGGTGGCGATTTTCATTAATTTCAGTGGGAGCTGAGTTGCAAGCCTGCAACTTGTATAGACAGCACTTTGCTTGCTGGAGGTTATTCTTCAAGCACAGTTAACCTCAGTATTTATTTCACTGTTGTTCTCATTGTTGTCCAAAAAAAAAAAAAAAAAAATACTGCATGACAGCAGTTATTTCTTACTCCAGGCTCAAACCATGTGAGCAGAGTGCAGCAGAGCTCCAACAGCACAACTGTGACTTTCAGCACGCAGGGTCTCCTTGACTACAGTGCCGCGACTCGCAAAGTTACCTCTGCTTCAGAACTCATATAAAGCACAATTTTTTTAAGGTCCACAAAAAATAACTCAAGGTGATTTTCTGAAGATGAGTATATGAGTAGTAATGCTTCAGAAGTATTACTGTTACCAAATGTGTCTACAAACCAAGCAGGTTTGTTTTGTTTCCAAATGTAATAATTCTGGGAGGTAATTTGCATGTGAAGGATGTTACCAAGTTACAAAGTATGACTGAATTTGTGGCAGGACTATTCATGTGCTTGTAATTAAACCAAATATAAACCGAAGCACTATGCTGGTTAAGGACTGGTGTGTCTTTATTTACTTTTTACTGAGCTCTAAATGAGACAATAAGTAAACATGTTGATAAGTAGTTTTAATCCCCAAATCAATTGTGAACACCTTTGGACTTAATAAATAATATGTGTAATTTCACTGGTGTTCAAAAATGGGTCATTTATGGAGAAAGCACAGAATATTTTCTTCCCAGAAACTGCTGTGAAGGAGCTTGATCTTACAAGGTGCTGCATGTTCTTCATTGTTGTTAATGTGTCTCCGGGAAACAGCACCCGGCATGACCAGACCCTGATAAACACAAACTGCAGCAGTGTCTGACCTCCGTGGCTTTGTTGAGCAGGCRAAATGCTTATGGGCTTGTTAGTCTAGATAACATACTCCCTATTACGCTGTTGCTGGAAATCAAATAAATTGCAGAGTGCTAGTTTCAAAGATTTGACTTTATCCATGGTGCAGCAATGCATGCCCAGCTGGGGCATAGCAACCTGCACAGAAAAGCCAGAGTTA